TGCACGCCACCAAGCTCAGCTAATTTTTCTTTTTCTTTTTTTCTTCCTTTTCTTTTCTTTCTTTCTTTCTTTTCTTTTTTTTTTGAGTTGAAATCTTGCTCTATCACTAGGCTGGAGTGCAGTGGTGCAATCTCAGCTTGCTGCAACCTCTGCTTCCTGGGTTTAAGTGATTCTCTTGCCTCAGCCTCCCAAGTAGCTCGAACTACAGGCACACACCACAATGCCAGCTAACTTTTGTATTTTTTGTAGAGATGGGGTTTCACCATGTTGGCCAGGACGGTCTTGATCTCCTGACCTCGTGATCCACCCATCTCAGCCTCCCAAAGTGCTGGGATTACAGGCGTGAGCCATTGTGCTCGGCCCATCAGCTAATTTTTCTTACTTTTCATAGAGACGGAGTCTTGCTATATTGCCCAGGCTTGTCTCCAACTACTGGGCTCAAGTGATCCTTCTGTCTCAGGCTCCCAAAGTGCTGGGATTAGCAGTGTGAGCCACGACACCTGGCCCGTATCTGGCTTCTTTTCCTCAGCGTTAGGTCATGAGTTGCGTGTAACTCTAGTTCATTCTCACTGCAGTATATAATATTGTATTATGTTAATAAATGACAATTTATTTTCCATTCTACTATTGACAGACATGTGGGTTGTTTCCAGTTTGGAGCTGTTACAAATAATGCTGCTATGAATATTCTAGTATGTATCTTTTGGTGGACATATGAATACATTTTTGTTTTTTGAGATGGAGTTTCGCTCTTGTTGCCCAGGCTGGAGTGCAGTGGTGCAATCTCGGCTCACTACAACCTCCACCTCCCAGGTTCAAGCGATTCTCCTGCCTCAGCCTCCTGAGTAGCTGGGATTACAGGCATGCACTACCACACCTGACTAATTTTTTGTATTTTTAGTAGAGACAGGGTTTGGCCAGGCTGGTCTCAAACTCCTGACCTCAGGTGATCCACTGCCTCAGCCTCCCAAAGTGCTGGGGTTACAGGCGTGAACCACCACGCCTGGTCATAAATACGTTTCTGATGGGTATGTGCCTAGGAGCAGAATTGCTGGATTACAGAGCATGCAGATGTTTAGATGTTTGGTATTAGTCAGTCCTGCCAGTAGTCTTCCACTCCCACCAGCAGTATGACATCCCGTGCACCACATCCCCACTAATATTTGGTGTTTTCCATCTTTTTCCATTATAGCCATTCTGGTGAGTGTGTGAATAGTGGCATATTGTGGTTTAAATTTGCATTTCTCTGAGGACTAATAAAATCAAGTTGCTTTTTATATTCACCATGTGGTTTCCTTCTCGGAAAGTGTTTACGTCTCAGCCATTGTCTTCCTTTTTCTTTTTCTTTTTTGAATGCAGTGGTGCCATCAGAGCTCACTGCAGCCTCCACCTCCTGGCCTCAAGTGATCCTCCCGCCTCAGCCTTTCATGTAGTTGTGACCATAGACACCTGCCACCACACCTGGCTATTTTATTTTTTTAAAAAAACAGAGACGGGGTCTTGCTATGTTGGCCAGGTTGATCTTGAACTCCTGGCCTCAAGCAATCATCCTGCCTTGGCCTCCCAAAGTGCCAGGATTATAGGTATGAGCCACTGTGCCCAGCCCCAGCTAATTAAAAAAAAAAAAAAAATTCTGGGTGGTGTGGTGGCTCATGCCTGTAATCCCAGCACTTTGGGAGACTGAGGTGGGTGAATTACCTGAGCTTGGGAGTTCGAGACCAGCCTGGCCAACATCGTGAAACCCCGTCTCTACTAAAAATACAAAACTTATCCAGGCATGGTGGTGTGCACCTGTAATCTCAGCTACTTGGAAAGCTGAGGCAGGAGAATCGCTTGAACCCAGGAGGCGGAGATTGCAGTGAGCTGAGATTGCAACATTGCACTCCAGCCTGGGCGACAGAGTGAGACTCCACCTCAGAAAAAGAGAGACAGTGTGAACTAATTTGGAAAAGGGGTTTTGCAGAGCTAATTAGTGAAGAGGGGGACATGCTGGATTAGAGTGGGCTCTGAATCCAGTATGTCTTTTTAAGAAGGCCATGTAGGGTGGTGGCCCACCACTGTAATCCCAGCACTTTGGGAGGTGGAAGGATGGCTTCCGCCGCTGCACTCCAGCCTGGGTGACAGAGCAAGACTCAATCTCAAATGAAAAAAAAAAAATTAAAGAAAGGAAAGTTCAGCCTAAAAAATAGAACATCCTTGGTCAGGCACAGTGGCTCACGCCTGTAATTCCAGCACTTTGGGAGGCCGAGGCAGGTGGATCATCTGAGGTCAGGAGTTCAAGACCGGCCTGAACTACATGGAGAAACCCCCATCTCTACAAAAACACAAAAATTAGCCAGGCATGATGGCGGGTGCCTAATCCCAGCTACTCAGGAGGCTGGAGTGGAAGAATCACTTGAACCCAGGAGGTGGAGATTGCAGTGAGCTGAGATCGTGCCACTGCACTGCAGCCTGGGCAACAGAGCGAGACTCTCTCAAAAAAAAAAAAAGAGCTCTCTCAAGTGCCCCCAGCCAGCCCTGGCCCTGCCAGTGTGACCCCGAGAAGATGGAGTGGCACATGCCTGGACCACTGTTTTTAAATATTCATCGTCGAGGTCGGGCTACTTCATGCTCACATCTTGAGACCAGCCAGATCTCCACCCAGAAATAAGCAATGCTTAGAAAGCACACAAAGCTTTGCCCAAGAGCCAGAAACTTATCTGCAACAACCAGTTGTGCTATAAATGAACTTCGTTCAGTTCACTGGAATATTACCTAATTTCCTCTGCTTTTGTTTTTTAAACAAGGAAGTGTTGACTCAGCCAACAGCACTGGGAATGGGCCTCCCTGTGGTCTGCCTGCCCCTGCTCTTCTCCCAAATCCTCTTGCTTTTTTGTCCCTGTTGATGGAATTCGATAAAGGGATCTCTGCCATCTGTCAGGGACCAGCTGTGCTGTCTCAGAAGAGCCCCTCCTGGCAGGCTGACCCCCGTTCCCCTCTGATGGCTCTGCAGCTGCACTCCTGAACCCTCACCTAAGTGCCACATCAAGGCTGCCAGACCTGCAGTTAAGCAAAGCCTGATTATAGCTGTCCGGGCAGCTCGAGGGAGGACAGGGAAAACATACGTTGGTTATCCATACTTGTGAATTCCCGTTTGGCACATATCTGTTAAAAATCCTGGTTTCTGTCTTTTTTTTTTAAAGACCGCCACCACAAAAGTCACAGAATGAGGTGCTGTAGGTCTGTTACAAGTTAACAATCTCTCTGTGTGCCTGTTACCAGTGGATGGATTACCTCAGTCCTAAGACTCCTTATGTTCCCCCGTCACCCCATATAAACCGTTCGTTTTGTAAGCTCAGGGCTGCCTCTTCTTATTGTTACGGAGCAGCCCGGCAGGTTAATAGACCTTGCTTGCCTGACTATGGGTCTATTCTCCTTTCTAAGGGCTACCCTTGCATTCATTATTGGTGCCGAAACCCAGGATGGGTAGGCTCCGGCCGGGTGTCCTTAAGGGACTCTTTCACCCTTTCTCTCTCTTTCCCTCCCTCTTCTATCACTTCTCTCCTGGCCATCCTCCCCTTCCCCGAAACTGCTGAAGACCCAGAGAATCTGCCAGATTCTCCCATTGCTGGCGACCGCATCCACCATCAGAGCTTCCCCCAGGGTGAGTAAGAGAGACTGTTGCCGTTTCCTGGAACCCTTGACCGTTCCTGCCTTCCCGAAAGTCCCAGCGCTGGGCCAAGGGCTTCCTCCGGCCTCCGGGCCTCCAGTTCCTCCATTTCAGGGACCCCAGACTTGGTGGCTACGTCCCGTATCCCGGACAGGGCCCGTGGGACAGGGGACACCTTCTCCCACCATCCCGGTCAATCAGCAGTCTCTTCTTCCTCCCCGGCCCCCGCCCCATTCCCTATGGGAGCCCGTCACTCTGCCCCTTCCAAAGCTACCCTCCTTGGTGTCTCCTGTGTAATCTCAATGCTCTCAGCCTCCGTTCAGAAGTCCATCTGAACAGGCTTGTCTTTTACCGTAATACCATTTGGCCTCAGTACCAATTACACAATGGTTCGCAATGGCCTGAAAGTGGCACCTTCGATGTCAATGTACTTAGACATTTAGACAACGTTGGCCACCGCAGTGGGAAATGGTCTGAGATCCTTATGTTCAGGCTTTCTTCACTCCTCATAGCCATCCTTGGCTCTGCCGGTCCTGCCCTACTTTCCAGATCCTCCTGGCTCGCTCCAAACACTACTCTCTTCCCCATGGCTCTGGCTGACAACCCTCCTGCCACACTCCCCACAGCCCCAGCCGATGACTCCTCTTCCTCTTACCTGCTGATTTTCCTCCTCCTCGACCGAATCATGATCCCCCACCGTCCATCCCCAGTCCAGCCCTCCCCTTTCCCCCATCCTCCAACTCCTCTCCCTCTCCAGCCCTTACCCATTTGGAGCCCAACATGCCCAGCAACCCGCTCCGTTGCTTCCCCTGAGCAGGTAGAAGGGGCTGAAGGAATTCTCCGTGTCCACCTCCCCTTCTCCCTCCCCGATCTCTCCCAGACTGAAAAGCGTCTTCAGTCCTTCTCCTCTGATCCCGATACTTCTATCAAAAGAAAACCTAAAGCCAACCGGGTGCAGTGGCTCATGCCTGTAATCCCAGCACTTAGGGAGGGTGAGTTTGCTTGAGTCTCGGGCAGATTGCTTGAGTCCAGGAGTTCAAGACAAGCCTGGGCAACATGGTGAAACCCTGTCTTCTACAAAAAAACAAATTAGGTGTGGTGGTGTGTGTCTGTAGTCCCAGCCACTTGGGAGGCTGAGGTGGGAAATGGGCCTGGGAGGTGGAGGTTGTAGTGAGCTTTGCTCACACCACTGTGCTCCAGCCTGGGCAACAGAGTGAGACCCCACCTCAGAAGCTAATAGAAAGAAAGATTAGTGGGGTTAGAAAAGCTCTGTCAGGCACAGCATCAGCCAAAGAACGTGGAGGTGGTGGGAGTGATGCCAGGCAAGGGAGAGTTTCAGAGGTGTCATTAGCTACATCAGCTTGCTGTGGAGCCGTGAGACCTCCCACCCACAGCGCTGGGAGTGTAAAAAAAAAAAAAGAATTTAAACATCTCACCCAGTCTTACGAACTCACGTGGCATGATCTCTATTTTATCTTCTCTCCTGCCCTCCTTCTGGAAGAGAAGGAAAGAGTGTAGCTCACAGCCCAGGCACATGCCGACGATCTTCATTGGCGAGACCCTACTAAGCCCGTCGGAGCCGCTGGCGTCACCTGGGAAGAGCCTTCCTGGGAGCACCAACCCACAGACCCCGTAACCACATGATTACTCACCTTACTGCAGGCCTTAACAAGGCTGCCCATACGGAGGTAAATTTCGAAAAACTTTAAGAAATTTCCCAAAAGGCAGATGAAAATCATGCCCAATTCCTTTCCCACCTTACAGAGGCTCTCCAAAAACATACTCGTGTCAACCCTGCTTCCCAAGAAGGAACTATTGTTCTTTTTCTTTACTTTTCTTTTTGTTGAGACAGAGTTTCTCTCCGTCACCAGGCACCAGGCTGGAGTGCAGTGGCGCAATCTCGGCTCGGCTCACTGCCGCCTCCGCCTCCCGGGTTCAAGCAATTCTCCTGCCTCAGCTTCCCGAGTAGCTGGGACTACAGGTGCGTGCCACCATGCCCAGCTAATTTTTGTATTTGTAGTGGAGACAGGGGTTCACCATGTTGACCAGGTTGGTTTCGATCTCTTGACCTCGTGATCCGCACGCCTCGGCCTCCCAAAGTGCTGGGCACGGTGGCCGGCCCTGGAACTATTGTTCTTAATACCCATTTTATTTCCCAATCTGCCTCCGACATCTGGCGCAAACTTAAAAAGGCTGAAGATGGCCCTCAAACCCCACAGTAAGACCTCCTTAACCCGGCTTTCAAAGTCTTCCGTAACAGGGGTGAGCAGAGTAAACCAGATAAAGCCCCAAGAGATCGTGCTAAACACCAGCTTCTAGCTGCGGCTATCCCTCAGCCTGGCCATAGCACCAAGGACGCAAAAGACCCAACAGCAGTGGCCCTCCCGGGCCTTGCTTTAAGTGTGGCAAAGAAGGCCACTGGGCGCGGGCATGTCCTAATCCGAGAGTGCCAAAGAGCCCCCGCCCCATCTGCCGGCAGAGAGGCCTCTGGAAGTCTGACTACAGATGGACAGAAAAGCCTGCACCTCAGAGCCACCACCCACTCAGCAAGATGGAAAGTGAAGACTGGCACTCCCGCAGCTGCTCGGCCTAGCCCCCAGCCGCATCTGCCATCTCAGCATCGGAGCCCAGGGTAACTCTCCCAGCAGCAGGTAAGCCCATCTCTTTTTTAATTGATACCGGGGCCACGTACCCGGTTTTGCCTGAATTCTCAGGACCCACTCATCCCTCTCAAGTCTCCGTTGTGGGGGTTGGAGGACTCATCTCGCGCCCCTGGGCCATTAGACCTCTTACTTGTTCCCTATTTCATGCTGATTTTTTCTCACACTCTTTCCTTATCCTGCCTCCTGACCCTACCCCCATTCTAGGCAGAGACCTCCTAACCCAATTCAAAGCTTCCCTCACCTTTTTCTGTTCCCCACAACCAGATTCTGTCCTGCTCCTCTCTGCCACCACGCCAGCCCCCGACCCATCCCCAAGATATACTGTTGAGGACACCAAACAGGGTCAGATAAGGTCTCAAGAGGAAACAGAAAGGCTGACGAGGCCCAAGAAATGCTTCCCTTTCTTCTGCCTCTGGCCCCCTCCTCCTCATCCCTCCGACAGTCCAACCCCAATATTCCCCCACTGAAAAAGCTTCACTGTTACAAGGGGCCTCCTTCCAGGGGAACTGGATAGTCAGAGATCAAAAACTCATCCTCCCCCAAGCACAAACCAAAGAAATCCCGACATCGCTTCACCAGTCCTTCCATACCAGTGCCCCCTGTACCTACTCCTTCGCCCTTATTTCTCTTCCCCCATCTATTCACCTCACTAAAGACATAACCTCCCACTGTCATACATGCTCTGTCACTTCCTCCCAGGGGCCCTCCCCTCCGACCCCTACACATCAGCGAAGAGGAACACTCCCAGGGGAAGGCTGGCAAATACACTTTACCCACATGCCCCCTGTTCAAAGGACTGTTTCAGCCGGGCACGGTGGCTCACTCCTGCAATCCCAGCACTTTGGGAGTCTGAGGTGGGTGGATCACGAGGTCAAGAGATCAAGACCATCCTGGTCAACATGGCAAAATCCTGTCTCTACTAAAAATACAAAAAATTAGCTGGGCATGGTGGCGCAGCCTGTAGTCCCAGCTACTCAGGAGGCTGAGGCAGGAGAATTGCCTGAACCCAGGAGGCGGAGGTTGCGGTGAGCCGAGATCGCGCCATTGCACTCCAGCCTGGGTAACAAGAGCGAAACTCCGTCTCAAAAAAAAAAAAAAGCCATAAGTCTTTTTTTTCAGGGACTCCCCAAGTCCCTGAAGAGACCTAAATGCCTGCCCCTGCCTCTGCTGCCCCTTTACCCACTCTCTCTGCTCTGTCTGTGAAGATATCTCCTGGTTTTACCCCCATGCTCCCTCTCTTGACTCTCTTTTGGGGTGGACAAATGACCTGCTTTTCCAAGGCACTCTGTGTGACCTCTCCCAGATGACGCGCAGCTGTTCACCTTTCTGCTCACTCTGTGTTTATTTCTGCAGCTCCTTTGGCTGCCCTGCAGCCCCGCAGCCCCCCTTCCTATCACCCCAACCAAAGCTCTACAAAGCCCTGAGCTTAACCCATTCACCACTGAATCGATCCAACCCGACCCAGCAAGGGACTGCTGGCTGTGCCTCTCCCTGTCAGCTCTGCATAAACTGCCGCTCCTGCCCCTGCAGAAACCTGGGTTTCTACCAAGTTAACCCATCACCCCCAATATGAAGGTAAATCCTCCCCCAGCCCTTAGACATGAGTCATTAGCCAGGTTTCCCATCTCGGAAACAACAAAAAATCCTCTCACAGGACGCGCAGTACAGCTGCTGCGTGCCTCTATTTCCAATCGCCCAATACACAGACCGTGGAACAAGCCCACACGCGGCCCCATCACCAGGAATGCAGACTTAGCTCTCCAGGTCCCCATGAGCTCTCACTGCCATCTGTCCTCAGGTCTACCTCTGGGCACCTACTGCCCCATCATGCAACTCCACCGTACAGCTTCAGGCCCCAGCCGACTATCAGAACTTTTGTCTCCCGAGCCGCTCCATGTAGGCGGGCTGTCCGCTTTTCAGGACCCCCGACGACGATCAGGATTCTGCCATGCACAGCAGGCTCCGCTGCCTGACTCCACACCCATGGAGCCCTTGCTGCGCGGCCCCCACCCTGAAGAGCGCCTCCTGATACCCACATGCAACCACTCTTCTGGATGGATCCTGGTAGATACAAAACGATTCTTTCTTCAGCGGGAAAACAAAACACAGGGAGCCACTCGACTTTCCCCATTCCCCCCTTTTCAGCCGCCCAGGGGGCTGCCCTAGCTGGTACCCCAGGAGCGTGGGAGAGTGACAAGAAACTCACACACCTTTTTAACAACCACAGCCAGTTCTGTGTGCCCGCCAAGGCATGGTTTTCATGTGTGGGGCCTCGGCTTACCTCTGCCCGATGCTGGTTGGACTGGCACCTGCACCCTCATCTTTCTAAGCACCAAAACAGACATTGCTCCAGGGAACCAAACCTACCAGTTCCCGGCAAAGCTAGCGCCAAGCCCTGCGGCCAATGCCCCTGCTCATAGGACTTGGAATTCCTGCAGCCACAGGAGCAGGGATGGCAGTGCTGTCCACTTCCCTGTCCCGCTCTCACACCCTCTCCAGAGACCTGCCAGCCAGAGCAGAATCCACTCTTACTCTTCAGTCCCAAACAGACTCTCTAGCAGCAGTTACACTCCCACACCGTCGGGGTTCAGACCTGCTCACTGCGGAGAAAGGAGGACTGTGCACCTTTTTAGGGGAAGAATGCTGTTTCCACACTAACCAGTCGGGACTAGTACGGATGCCACTCGACAGTTAAATGACAAAGCTTCTGAAACCAGGCAGCGCCTCTGACTCCTGGGCTAATCTTTGGAGCTGGGCACCCGGGCTCCTCCCACTCGCTGGACCTCTTGTTTCTATTCTTCTCCTTCAAGCAGTTGCCCCTGCCTCTTAGGACTTCTCACCCAGTCCTTACAGGACCGTGTTAAAGCTTTCACCCATGGAACAATACAAGATACGACGCAGCTTCAAGAATATCAACAGTTTCAGGAACGACAGTCCCTGCGATCTGGCCCCAGTCCCATACGTCGCCCCTATCCAGCAAGAAGCAGCCAGTTGACACTGGCACTCCTGCTCTATTACCTATCAAGAGGCTGGAGTGTCAGGGACCAGCTGTGCTGTCTCAGAAAGCCCCCTCCTGGCAGGCTGACCCCCATTCCCCTCTGATGGCTCTGCAGCTGCACTCCTGAACCCCTACCTAGGTGCCACATCAAGGCTGCCAGACCTGTGGCCATTAAGCAAAGCCTGATTACAGCTGTCCGGACAGCTCGAGGGAGGACAGGGAAAACATGTTGGTTATCCATACTTGTGATTCCTGTTTGACACATATCTGTAAAAGGTCCTGGTTTCTGACTTTTTTCTAAAGAGACTGCCGCCGCAGAAGTCACAGGGTGGTGCACTGTAGATCTGTTCCAAGTTAAGGAACTGTCTCTGTGCCCGTTACCAGCGGATAGATTGCCTCAGTGCTAAGACCCCGTATGCCCCTCTCACCCCATATACACCACTTGTTTTATAAGCTCAGGGCTGCCTCCTCTAATTGTTACGGCGCGGCCCGCAGGTTAATAAACTTGCTTGCCTGACTTTGGGTCTGTTCTCCTTTCTCTAGGCTACCCTTACACCATCAGTCACTTGTTTTCTTTTTTTTTGAGATGGAATCTTGTCATCCAGGCTGGAGTGCAGTGGGGTGATCTCGGCTAGTTGCAAACTCCGCCTCCTGGGTTCAGGTAATTCTCCTGTCTCAGCCTCCTGAATAGCTGGGATTACAGACGCACGTCACCACGCCCAGCTGACTTTTGTATTCTTAGGAGAGACAGGGTTTCACCCTGTTGGGCAGGCTGGTCTTGAACTCCTGACCTCAGGTGATCCACCTGCCTCAGCCACCCAAAATGTTGGGATTACAGGCGTGAGTCACCGTGCCCAGCCAACATGCACTTTTTATTTTATTTTATTTTTATTTATTTATTTATTAAAGATGGGGTTTCACCATCATGGCCAGGCTGGTCTTGAACTCCTGACCTCAGGTGATCCACCCACCTCAGCCTCCCAAAGTGCTAGGATTACAGGCATGAGCCACAGCACCCAGCTTTTTAATTTTTTTATTAAGATGGGGAATGTAAGGGTTATTTCTCTTGTAAGGTTGATTGCTGAGTTTAAAATGAGGAAACTGAGGCCAGCACAAGAAAAGTAAACGCCAATTCATTTAACTCCCAGATGAGGTTCTGTGGTCCAGGGAAAGGGGCCAGAGAAGTCACGCCTGACTCCTCTGGGGCGTGGGGTTCTATAGGGAGGGAAGGCGTTCTGATTGGCTGTGGAGAAACAGGACGTGGACGGGGCAAGCTGCTATTGGTAGGTAGGCGGGATTTCCAGTGAGCGGGCTGTGCTATTGGGCAGGTTTTGGCGGGGCTTCTTTTAAATATTGGCGGGGTTTTCCAACGGGGTCCTAAGTGCCCAGTGCAGAGTTTAGTGTTGAGTGCAGGCTCTGGTGCGGAGTGCAGATTCTGGTGACTTAATTTTCAGGTATGGAGAGGGATGGGCGTGTCCGAGCTCCTGGCGAGGCAACTGGCCTTACAGGGAACATCCACTTTTAAGAAGCTCACAGTGGGGTAAGGAGTGCAGGAATCATCAACTATGATGAATAATCCTTGAAAATGTGGTTAAGAATTAAATAACATCATGAGCGTAGGGTTCTTTTCTGGGTGATTAAAATATCCTAAAATTGATTGCGGTGATGGTTGCATAATCTGTGAATATACTAAAAACCACTGATTTATAATTATACACTTTAATGGGTGGAGCTGTATACGGTGGAGAGGGTTAGACTATTGCTTGAGTCCAGGAGTTCAAGGCTGCTGTGAGCTATGATGGTACCACAGCGCTCCAGCCTGGGGAACACAGGTACCTCATCCCCAGCAAAAGAAAAAAAAAAGAGTGGGCCTGGCGCGGTGGCTCACGCCTGTAATCCCAGCACTTTGGGAGGCCGAGGCGGGTGGATCACGAGGTCAAGAGATCGAGACCATCCTGGTCAACATGGTGAAACCCCGTCTCTACTAAAAATACAAAAAATTAGCTGGGCACGGTGGCGCGTGCCTGTAATCCCAGCTACTCAGGAGGCTGAGGCAGGAGAATTGCCTGAACCCAGGAGGCGGAGGTTGCGGTGAGCCGAGATCGCGCCATTGCACTCCAGCCTGGGTAACAAGAGTGAAACTCCGTCTCAAAAAAAAAAAAAAAAAAAAAGAGAAAGAAAAGAAAAAAAAAAGTGAATTACGGTATCCCCAGACCACAGGGGATTGGTTCCAGGATTTTGGCATGCAATTTCCCCTGCATTTCTGCAGGTTTTGCATCACGGAGTACTGTTTTTTCATCCTCCTTTGGTTGGAAAAAGGCTGCCTATAAATGGACCCACAGAGTTCAATTCTATGTGAACTATGTCCCAACAAAGCTGTCAGATTACAATGGAAGCAGCAGCCAGGTGTGGTTGTGTGTGCCTGTAAATCCAAGCTACTCGAGAGGCTGAGGCAGGAGAATCACTTGAACCCTGGAGGCGGAGGTGGCGGTGAGTCAAGATCGTGCCACTGCACTGCAGCCTGGGAACAGAGCAAGACGCCATCTCAAAAAAATAATAATAAAATAAAATAAAACGAAACAAAAGAATGGCCTGGTGCAGTGGCTCACGCCTGTTGTCCCAGCACTTTGGGAGGCCAAAGTGGGCGGATCACCTGAGGTTAGGAGTTCGAGACCACCCTGGCCAACATGGCAAAACCCCATCTCCACTAAAAATACCAAAATTAGCGGGGCGTGGTGAGGGGTGCCTACAACCCCAGCTACTTGGGAGGCTGAGGCAGGAGACTCACTTAAACCTGGAAAGTGGAGGTTTCAGTGAGCTGAGTTCGCACCATTGCACCCCAGCCTGGGCGACACAGCAAGACAGTCTCAAAAAAAAAAAAAAAAAAAGAGTTAATTGTCATAGTGCAGGCTAGAACGGGTGGAAAATGATAAATAGTACCTGGGGGAGGTGAGTCTGGAGGCTTAGTTCCCAGTGGAAATCAAGGTAGCAGAGAGGGAGGCAAGGCCCAGGAGAAGAGGGGACAGGGACAGAGAGAAACAGGGGTGTGATGAGACCAGAAGATCATCGAGGGAGCTGCCCCTCCTTCCCTTTCTCCCCCATCCGAGGAGGCAGAGTCTCAATTTGACTTATCCATGTGTCTTTTTTACAGATTTGCTACCAAAAGAGGCAAGAAAGTCTGTACCCACACAAGGGGAAAATGGGTGCAAAGATACATCTCTTTGTTGAAAACTCAGAAACAATGTGACTCAGCTGAATTTTCAGCCAAGGACGCCTGGATCCCGCTCTTGGCTCTGCAGCCCTCGGGAGAGGAGAGGCTCTTTTCTTTTCTCTTTCTTTCTTGTTTCTTTTTTTTTTTTTTCTTTTTTTTATTGAGACGGAGTTTCGCTCTTGTTACCCAGGCTGGAGTGCAATGCCGCGATCTCGGCTCACCGCAACCTCCGCCTCCTGGGTTCAGGCAATTCTCCTGCCTCAGCCTCCTGAGTAGCGGGGACACAGGCACGTGCCACCATGCCCAGCTAATTTTTTGTATTTTTAGTAGAGACGGGGTTTCACCATGTTGACCAGGATGGTCTCAATCCGTTGACCTCGTGATCCACCTGCCTCGGCCGCCCAAAGTCCTGGGATTACAGGTGTGAGCCACCGCGCCCGGCCTCTTGTTTTTTTTTTTTTAGACAAAGTTTCGCTTCTGTCGCCAGGCTGGAGTGTAGTGGTGGGATCTTGGCTCACTGCAACCTCCACCTCCCGGGTTCAAGCAATTCTCCTGCCTCAACCTCCTGAGTAGCTGGGATTATAGCCTTGGCCACCACGCCCAGCTAATTTTTGTATTTTTAGTAGAGATGGGGTTTCAGCATTTTGGCCAGGCTGGTCTCGATCTCCTGACCTCAGGCGATCCACTCGCCTCTCCTCAGCCTCCCAAAGTGCTGGAAGCTATCAGTTTTCTTCGAGGAAAGGAAATTGATTCCATAAGCAGGACTGGCTGCCTGGGAGGTCCCCAACCCCCAGCTGACCCTGACATTGAATTCTGCCTTGGGTTTTTCTTGGTGCAAAAAAGCAAGGACAATTTTAATACATTTTGGTAAAATGCTCAGTGAATGTTTTAACATTATTTAGGGAAATAAGAAATAAGTTTCTTTTATTTGGAAAGGTAAATTCTGTACAACACGTCGCAGCCTGTCCGTGCTGTGTAAATGCAGGAGCTCTGTGTTTGGCAGTTTTCTCTAAGAAAGCAAGACACTAATTAGTAAATGTGAATATGATCTACCTACCAAGTGGAGGGTGCCTATGTCTATACAGCTCAAATAAGCGTTTTACAAATATAATCAGCCAGGTGCAGTGGCTCACAGCTGTAATCCCAGCACTTTGGGAGGCTGAGGTGGGAGGATCACTTGAGCCCAGGAGCTTGAGATCGGCCTGGGCAACATAAATTTAAAATCACTACAAAAAATTTAAAAATGACTCAGACATGGTGACATGTACCTGTAGTCCCAGCTGCTCGGGAGGCTGAGGTGGGAGGATTGCTTGAGACTGGGAGGTTGAGGCTACAGTGAGCTATGATGGCACCACTGTACTCCAGTCCGAGCAACAGAGGAAGAGCCTGTCTCAAATAATAATAATAATTAAGACCAGCCTGGGCAACACATTAAAACCCTGTCTCTACAAAAACACAGAAAATTAGCCAGGCATGGTGCCACACGCCTGTGGTCCCAGCTACTTGGGAGGCCGAGGCAGGAGGATTACTTGAGGCCAGCAGTTGGAGGTTGCAGTGGGCCAAGATCATACCACTGCACTCCAGCATGGGCAACAGAGCGAGGTCCTGTCTCAGAAATATATATATATATATATATATATATAAAATAATTATTATTTTTGCAATTTCTTGCAACTTTTTGAGAATCTATACTGTTTATAATTCTTAATTATTAACATCTATAATCATTATAGATTCACAAGAAGTCACAAGAAGGCACGGAGAGGTCAGGTATACCTTTTTTATTACTGAGACAGAGTCTCACTCTGTCACCCAGGCTGGAGTGCAGTGGCGTCATTACAGCTCACTGTAGCCTCTGCCTCCCCGAGTTCAGGTGATCCTCCTACCTCAGCCTCCCAAGTAGGTAGGACTACGGGCACGGTCCACCACATCCAGCTTATTTCTGTACTTTTTGCAGAGACAAGTTTTCAGCATGTTGCCCAGGCTGGTCTCAAACTCTTGGGCTCAAACGACTTGCCCGCCTCGGCCTCCCAAAGTCCTGGGATTACAGGTGTGAGCGCGCTGCCCAGCCCCCAGATCTGTCTTTCACTTAGTTTCCCCCGAGGCCTACGTCTTACGTAATCACAATGCGATCGCAAACCCAGGAAACTGACATTAGTATGAAGTGTGTGCAGAGCTCTCTGGCACTGCTGTTTTGTTTTTGTTTATGTTTTGAGACAGAGTTTTGCTCTTTTTACCCAGGCTGGAGTGCAATGGCACGATCTCGGCTCACCGCAACCTCTGCCTCCCGGGTTCAAGCGATTCTCCTGTCTCAGTCTCCCGAGTAGCTGGGATTACAGGTGTGCACCACCACGCCCGGCTAATTCTGTATTTTTAGTAGAGATGGGGTTTCTCCATGTTGGTCAGGCTGGTCTCGAACTCCCGACCTTAGGTGATCCACCCACCTCGGCCTCCCAAAGTGCTGGGATGTGGGTGGGAGACCCCATAAGTGCCGAGGAAGGAGTCAGAAGCCCCAGCCTGTTCCCACATAAATAATGAAGAAGAAAAGAACTAGACGTAAAACCATAGCAGTTATTCATAGGTGATCTTAGTTATTTATAGGTAGCCATTAAGATATATATATCATGTATATATATATATATTCAGCATAATCTTTTTTTCTTTTTATTTATTTATTTTTATAAGATGGGGTTTCACCGTGTTGGTCAGGCTGGTCTTGAACTCCCGACCTCAGGTGATCCATCCGCCTTGGCCTCCAAAGTGCTTCGATTACAGGTGTGAGCCACCACGCCCGGCCGATTCAGCATAATCTTTACCAATGCTGCTCAGGTCGAAAAGTGTGAACCTAAAGTGACATGGTGAAAGAAGTGACCGTAAGGCAAGATGCTGTAAGCCGGTGAAAGGGCTGCTGGAGGGCGCCTTGGCTGTGCAGCAGTGCCAGCGCTGGGAAAGCGCCCGCTGTTTAGCCAGCTAAGGCTGAGACATCTTCCTCTGGGGGGTTAGGAGAAAACTCCACTCCTCCAAGCTCTTGTAGGCCTGATGGCTGTCAGGGAGGCCCGCAGACATCCGAGGGCTTATGTGTCTCTGTGTGACGCTGTGCTTCAGCAGTCACGTTCCAAGTCCACGCTCATTTTCCGCTTCTGCACCTGGTTCCTTTTCTCTTACAAGAGATAATCAGTAAAAGTAACATATACTTGATGTCTTTGTACTTTCTTGACAAGTATGGAAAAGCACTGACCATTCTGCTCCTTACCTCAGCTTGGTTACTAGATAGTCCTGGGCCCCCATCCCATGACACGTGATGTACTTGACCCTGTCACGGACCGCCAATGCTGCGCCCTACCTGCCCTGCCCCCAGCTTTGTACTCAATAAAAGTCAGAGCGTGCAGACACTTGGGGCCACTGCCGGACTCCGCGCTTTGGCTGGCAGTGGACTCCTGGGCCCAAACTCTTTTTCTCTCGATCTCTGTGTCTTGTGTCTTTTATTTCCACAGTTTCTCGTCTCTGCATGAGCAGAGAGGGGCTCACAGGACGCTGTAGGGCTGGACCCTACACTGGGATTACAGGTGTGAGCCTCCACACCGGCTCATACTGTCATTTTATCATGTGTGTGGATTTACATCACAACAACTGAGATCATGAACTGTTCCAATGTCATGGAGATCTCCCTACAGTTACCCATTGACAGTCACACCTCCCCTTCACTCCCATCTTTTATTTTTTAAGACGGGGTTTCACCATGTTGGACAGGCTGGTTTCGAACTCCTGACCTCAAGTGATCCACCCGCCTCGGCCTCCCAAAGTGCTGGGATTACAAGTGTGAGCCACCGCACCCGGCCCCTTTACCACCATCTTTAGCTCCTAGCAACCACCATCTTAATCCTTGGCATTATGAATCCGACTGTTAGGTGCCACATGTAAGTGAGATCATGCAGCATGTGTCTTTCTGTGCCTGGCT